TTGGATCTTGATTTGTTTTGTTTATGATATTTGTAATATCTCAAACTTTTTCACTAGCATAAGGGATGGAACTAAGCAGTGCTTTACAACTCAATTACATCTTCAGCTGTTTTCATTTTGTAAAATTTTTGACAGGACCTTATTATGTTGCTAAGGATGGCCTCCTGGCCCGGACTCTCAGGTTGATGGAATCACAGCTGTGTACAACCTCTGATTCTCTCAGTTAGTTTTTTAAAGGAACTCTTTATGTATACAATTTCTGCTTGTTTCTGTTAACAAATTTTGTCTAAATTGTATTCAATTCTCTGTGTTCTAGATTGGCTCACTAAATCTCTTTCAAAGGTCATTTAGTAATTACTAATAACTCCCATTTTCCTAATGTTTAATTCCTAATTTTTTTGTTACTTTTATAAAACCATGTTTTTCTTTGTGTGCTGTAGTCTTTTTAATTGGTTTGTTCATTTAAAAACCAACCAACAGTAGATTATATACTCATTTTTAAAAATAGTATGGAAGTTTTAAGTAAATGAAAATGAGACAAGCAAAGTGCTGCATGCTTGTAATCCCAGCTAATTGGGAAGCTGTGCAAGAGGATTTCAGGTTTGAGGCAAATCACAGCAACTTAGTGACACCATGTCTCAAAATAAACAATTTTTAATAGGCTGTGTTGTAGTTCAGTGATGCAGCACCCATGGCTTTAATCTGAAGCATTGTACATAAAAAGATTAAAAGTTGAATGACCCTGTATCCCCAAATGCAAGTACTAAATATGTATCCTCAGGAAATTAAATCTGCATGTTGAGGAGATAACTCTACTGCCATGTTCAGTGGAAACATTGTTCACAATAGTCAAATATGGATTTACCTTATGTACCCATCAGTGATTGAATGAGAAAAACTTTGATATTTCTACATGATTAATATTTAACCATAAAAGAGATAATGTGTCATTTGAGGTGACCTGAGATGAATATGCAGAATTTGCATTAAGTTAAATAAGGCAGACACAGAAAGTCTGCTGCAGAAGCATCTGGAAGTTAGAAATGCAGAATAAAATTGTGTTCACCAGGTATTGGGATTTGTGGAGTATTGGCACAGTGTTGGTCAAAGTCTGTGATTTTTTTTTTTAATTGTGCATCAGGTCAATAGTTATAGTTGTATTTACTACATGGTAAGCATAGTGTATTGTACTCTTGATAAATGCTAATAGAATTAATGTAATGATTTCTAAGCACAAAACTGATAATTATATGAAATGATGCATGCATTAATTCACTAGGTTTAATCATTTCACCATGCATGTGTACTTTTAAATACATGGCATACTTCATATATACGTAGAATTTAATTTGTCAATAAAATAAGTCTATAAATAACAAACATTTAAAAATGTAAAATACAAGCTCTGTGTCTTGATCACCATGTGTTGGCTTCATCCAGGTAATATGGTCATAGGCTGTGCCAGGTTTTTAATTGCCTCTCAAGCTTTTTTTAATGGTTAATCTTTTTGAAGCATGTGTGTGTTTTTCAATATTAAGAATTTTCTCTGTATTTCTTCTTGAGATTCCGTTGGCTTTTACTCTTCTTGAACATCTTTGTGGTATTGTCATTCAAAATCTCTTTTCTCTAGATCTCTGTCATGGAAGAGAGAAACCAGTTTTTAGATAGTCCTCAAGAAAGCCACAAATGTTTGCTTGTGCTTCATATTTCACATATAATACTGAGAGGGAAGGGAGTTGATAGATTTTTTTTTCTAATTGCACAATGCTGTATTATAGAGGAGGGGAGGGTTGGTTGATAAAAGTAACACAGTTTCCTTCCCCCCTACTATATCACTCTTCTTAGTAATGTACTCATCTTGGACCCTATGTTCTCTAAGATGGTTTTGGACAGTACTCACAGAGTATTTCTATCTCTACATTTTTCTTAGTCTATTTATTTCTGGAGTAATGATGGTCTTGGATTTCCTGCTGATGTCCTGACATGGATATAATTTTATATGTTATGTTTGCAAAATGTATTTATTCATCCCAGTTTAATAAGTATAATAATTGTTATTTTCGTTTATTTCAGCCAGGAGTTCTCATCATATTCATGAATCTCCATCAGAGCAGGGAATAAAATATTTGTTTCAAAGAATGATGAAGGGAAGGTATGGAAATTGGGACTTTGACTACTTATAACTAAGAAAAAAATGGGAAACTATAAGTGAGAGTGAAGGTCAGAAACAATATTACAAAGGACAAAACAAATTAGCAGTGACTTCATAATGAAAACTTCATTGCCAATAGATATTATGAACATTTAACATCTCAGAAAAGAATTCACTTATGCCATTTACATTTTGGGGGCTTTGTATGTCTTTAAAAATTTGTACACAGCAGTCTTTTTTTTTTTTTCTAATTGTTGATGGATATTTATTTTATTTATTTATATGTGGTACTTAGAATCAAACCCAGTGCCTCACACATGCCAGGCAAGTGCTCTGCCACTGAGCCACAATCCTAGCCCCTACAGCAGTCTCTGAAACATACATTTCCTCTGAAAGGAAATGTTGAAAATCTGAAAAGAGATCCTAGTACATGCTTCAATTTTTAACTTGACCAATTCTAGTCAAACTTTTGTAGAGAAAAGAGATTTAAAAGTGAAGGACAAGTTTCTAAAAGTGGTCCTTTTGAGAGTTTCTTTTCCAAATGTTCATTATTCTGCCATAAAGCAATAATTTCTCCTTGTATCCATACATACGATTTCAATGATTGTAGAGAGGTTCTTACCCCTTCATGGAAATTCAGACATAGATTTCCAGAAAGTATGCTACATATGTAGTGAAACACCTTTATTAGAGGTGACTACTCTAATTAAAGTACTAGTGTGTTTGTATTGGTGATAAAAATTATGAATAAAAGGAAACTCAAAAATTTTAATATAGGTTGCAATGCCACAAATCATTAATATGCTCCATTTTTCAAAGAACCTTTCTAAAGATGTACAATGTGAAGTCTTACTTCAATGCTTAAAACTTAAGTATCCATCCAAATAATTCACAGGCAATACAAGACTTGCAAGTGTAAGGTATATGAAGAAGCACTTAATTAAATTGCAAAACTTACTCAATAGAAGAGAATTCATACTGGAAGGGAGTCCTATGAGTTTAAAGAATGTATCAAAGCATTTAATCATTCAACCCTTTCTAAACCCCACAGATACCATGACAGTGATAAACCCTACAAATTTAAAGAATGTGGCAAAAGTTTTAATCAAAGATCACCCCCGGTTAAGCATCAGAGTATTTGTGCTGGAGAGAAGCCATGCAAGTGTAAAGAATGTGTCACAGCCATTAATAATTGCTCAACCCTTTCTGAACATCTCAGATTTCATAGCAGTGACAAAACAAAAAGCTCACTTGATAATCAATGCCAGATACTTTGTACTGGAGACAAATCCTGCAAGTGTGAAGAATATGCCAAATCCTTGAAGAATTTTTCAATCTTTACTCAACCCCAAGGTTCTTATAATGGAAAGAAGTACAACTGTAAAGAATGTGGCAAAGATTTTCATATGAGATCATTGCTTACTGCACACCAGAGAAATCATACAAGGGAGTGGCCCTACAAATGTGAAGAATGTGGCAAAGGTTTTTATCAATCATCACAACTTAAAACACACCAGAGAAGTCATACTGGAGAGCGGCCCTACAAATGTGATGAATGTGGCAAAGGTTTTAGTCAAAGATCAAGTCTTACTCAACATGAGAAAATTCATACTGGAGAGCGGCCCTATACATGTGAAGAATGTGGCAAAAGATTTTATCAAAGATCAAAGCTTGCTGAACACCAGAGAATTCATACTGGAGAGTGGCCCTACACATGTGAAGAATGTGGTAAAGGTTTTAGTCAAAGATCAACCCTTACTCACCACCAAAGAGTTCATACTGGAGAGAAGCCCTACAAATGTGAAGAATGTGGCAAGGGTTTTCAACAAAGATCATATTTTAAGATACACCAGAGAATTCACACTGGCGAGCGGCCATACAAATGTGAAAAATGTGGCAAAGGTTTTAGTCAAAAATCAAGCCTTACTCAACACCAGAGAATTCATACTGGAGAGCGACCCTACAAATGTGAAGAATGTGGCAAAGATTTTAAAGAAAGATCATATCTTAAGGAACACCAGCGAGTTCATACTGGAGAGCGGCACTACAAATGTAAAGAATGTGGCAAAAGCTTTTATTTCAGAGCAGGCCTTACTCAACACCAGAGAATTCATACTGGAGAGCGGCCCTACAAATGTAAAGAATGTGGCAAAGGTTTTAAGCAAGGAGCGCATCTTAATGAACACCAGAAAATTCATACTGGAGAAAAGTCCTACAAATGTAAAGAATGTAAGAAAACTTTTAATGAAATTCAAAACCTTCCTCCACATCACAGTGTTGATACAGTTGAGAAGCCCTACAAATGTGGAGGATGTGGCAAACCTTTTAATCAAAGATCAGACCTTGTTTACTACCAGAAAAATCATGCTGGAAAAAATCTCTACACATGTGAAGAATGTGGCAAAGGCTTTCATTACAGATCAAATCTTATTATACACCAGAGAATTCATACTGGAGAGAAGCCCTACAAATGTAAAGAATGTGCCAAAGATTTTTGTCGAAAATCAAGCCTTACTAGCCATCAGAGAGTTCATACTGGAGAGAAGCCTTACAAATGTAAAGAATGTAGCAAAGGTTTTGCTCAAACATCACAACTTAAAGCACACCAGAGAATTCATACTGGAGAGAAGCCATACATTTGTAAAGAATGTGGCAGAGCTTTCAGTCAAAGAGCTAAGCTTGCTGACCACCAGAGGATTCATACTGGAGAGTGGCCGTACACATGTGAAGAATGTGGCAAAAGTTTTAATTACATATCAATCTTTACTCAACACCAGAAAAGTCATACTGGAGATAGGCCCTATAAATGTGAAGAATGTAGCAAAGCTTTTCGTCATAGATCAACCCTTGCCAAACACCAGAAATTTCATACTGGAGAGAAGCCCTATAAATGTGAAAAATGTGGCAAAGGTTTTAACCAAAGGTTATACCTTATTGATCATCAGAGAATTCATACTGGACAGAAGCCATACCATTGTAAATAATGTCAAAGGTTTTGATTGAAAATCATGCCTTACACTACATCAAAGGATCCATACTGGAGGGAGCCTCTACAAGTGAAACATGCCACTGTCAACATTTGACAATGGTTCAACACTTATTCCACACCAGAGGAATCATTGCAGATAGAAATAGAAATGTAAAAAAAA